TGTTCATCCAATGGCCACTGCCACTAGCCAAGACCCTTCTCTAGACAGTGCAGGAGGCAGCCACACAAATTCTTACTCTTTTTTTTTCTTCTAGATTTCCTTAAGACCCACACTTAATTGTTTGTGCCTGTATTTCTGACCATTCCCTTTTTTTGTTTCAACCTCTGGGCCTCTTTTAAAGCCAGCGTATATTCCTGCTTGTATTCCTACGTGGCATTACCATCTGTTTTCACATATTTCTCCCACACGAGACTATGAGCACCTTGAAAGTAGAGACCGTCTTAATCAACTTTGTAACTCTAGCATCTAAAACTTAGCCTCCTCCATCAACAACTGTTACGTGGGGTGAATGGATGAAGCACTGCCATGTCACTTACCATTTATTATTGGTTCCGTTTAGGTTACTTCCTAATGACACAATGGAAGGCATCTTTTTGTTTTTTTAACGTTTGTTTATTTTGAGAGAGTGAGTGAGAGTGAGTGGGGGAGGGGCAGAGAGAGAGGGAGAGAATCCCAAGCAGGATCCTCACTGTCAGCACAGAGCCCAACACAGGGCTTTATTCCATGATCCGTGAGATCATGACCTGAGTGGAAATCAAGAGTCAGGCACCCAACTGACCGAGCCACCCAGGCACCCTGGGAGGGCACCTTAATCTCATTATTAAGTTACTTCCAACTCTCTTTTTTGGTAGGCTATTTCTGAGAAAGTTTCCTAAGCAAAATTAATCCCTTTAAAAAAAAACACAACATTGTTTTTTTTTTTTTTAACATTTATTCATTTTCAAGAGACAGAGTGTGAGTGGGGGAGGGGTAGCGAGAAAGGGAGACATAGAATCTGAAGAAGGCTCCAGGCTCTGAGCTGTCAGCATAGAGCCTGACACGGGACCCAAACTCCTGGACTGCGAGATCATGACCTGAGCTGAAGTTGGACTCTTAACCAACTGAACCACTCAGGCGTCCCAAAATTAATCCCTTAAATGCTGTTTGGATTTCAGTTAGTTTCAGCTTGGTGGCATTACATTTTGGGGCATAGCTAACTTCAGGGAGTCTCTACCTGTTAATTCCAAGAACTACAATTGACACTCGAACAATACAGGGAGTTAGAGGTGCTATCTCTCCCCATCACCCAGTCAAAAATCCATGTAAAACTTCTGACTCCCCCAAAACTTAATAGCCTATTGTCGACCAGAAGCCTTACCAATAACATAAGTCAATTAACACATATTTTATATATTCGGTGTACTGGATTCTCATAATAAAGTAAGCTAGAGAAAAAAAATGTTACTGAGAAAATCATAAGGAGAAAATACAAATACTGTACTGTAAAAAAAAAAAAAATCCACATATAAGTGCGCCCGCTTAGTTCCAAACTGTCTCGTTCGAGGGTCAGCTGCACCTGTAAACTCTAGTTCTAAGACACCGGTACTAAGAGGACCTTCCCTGGGACACCGAGGCAGTTATTCATTCGGGAAACATTTACAGTGAACCTGTCATCTTCAGGTTGTCATGCTAGCTGCTGAGGCAGAGCTGAGTCATTCGTGGTCCCTGCCCTCAGAAGCTCATGACACCACAGTGAGGGCCAGTGCATTTGGACAGGCTTATGAGGTGAGGGAAGAGAAAACATGGCGGTGGCTGGCCTCTGGGTCTGTGGTACTGAGGAGCGGGTAGTCTGGCTTTGGTAGAAAGGGGGGTCCACTCAACGTTGGGGGCTGAAGGGGAGAGTAAGCAAATAAGGCCTCCTGTACAATTCAGCAGATGATCTGCCTTGGGAATGTGAGCAGGAGGGAGCAAGCGGGATTGTATCTACTTGAGAAGATACCCTTCTTTCCTGCTTTGAGAATTTTCCGCTGCATTTAGTGAACAGATACATAGTGAATTCTATGGGGGAGGGGGGGCGGTGTTCTTTTTTCTTTCTTGAATCTCTTTTCCCTTTTGCTCCAGTTCATGGGGAGTGTCCGCTGAGTGTGGGTTTCATCGAACAACCCTGAGTCGAGACAGAGTTGATTGTGTTGGGTCTTTTAACCACTTGTGTGTGGCCAGCTGTCGTAGCCCATCTTCCCCGAGATCCCACTGGCCTAGAACATACAATAGAAGCTCGAAGAACCTCCACCCCTTCTTCCTCAGAACCTTTAATTCCTTTCAAACCCCAGCTCCAGCCCATCCAGTAATACATTAACTGGCTTAATGCCTGTGTATCTGTTTTCACTTTCTGCCCCCTCTGAGTCATATTCTCTTCTCCTTTATTAGTCAGTGGGGTTGCCCTTGCTGTCTCTCTGCGGATAGCATTTCTCTTCTGAGCAGCCTTAGAATTCTAACATCTACCATGCTGGGTGCTGAGAGAGCAAGCACATGACTTCCTGGAGCTACCAGCCTAATGAAGACAAAGCAGATACTTCCCAGAGGTAAACATCACTATATAAAATAAGTAAAAGGGTGCATTTGCCAATTTGTTAATGCAGCTTAAAATGGTTGGATTCCTGATGCTTGGGGCCTCCTCTGACTTTATTTTTGGGGCTGGAGGGTCCCCAGAACGTCCCCTGAAGTTAATAATAAACTCCACTGGATTCTTCCAGATTCACTCTGATGAGCCCAGCTTAGTTTCTCTGTTCCCTATTGGTAGAACTTCTAGACCTTCCCACAAACATAGAAAGATTTATAATCTAAAACTCAGGGGATGCAAGCCAAGCTATTTGCCCAGTGGGGAAGCTAAAGTTAGGAGGAGAGGAGTAAAGGGTTGAGGGCGGGAAGAGTTTGCTGCTTCCGGAACAGTAAAATAGGTCTGGTTATTGTGGGAACTCAGACCTGTGTTGGACGCTTTTATACTTAGTGTCTGGTTTCATGTTGCTTTTAATTTTTGATAGCTGAGGGAGTGGCTTCATCATTTTCAGGGTTAAATACCTGGCTGTACTCCTGAACTCTAGGATACATTTGCCTCCAGGCCCATCTGGCTCTGCCTTTACGTCTCAGAAGGGGTAAAAGAAACCTTAATGAAGGGCCTTGTCCTCCAGGTCCGGGTTCCTGCCTTGTGAACTGCCTGGTTCCCAGGCACGGGGGGGCCTGGGCCCTTCCCCTCCCCCGTGCTCTACCTTCTCTTCATGACCCGCACGGACTTAAAGTATGGAACCTGCCACCATCCCGAGTGCCTGAGAGATCTCTGCAGGTTGCCTGGCTCACGATTGTCCCGTACCTCCAGCCATCCTGTCCCTCATCTGCACTTTCCCGGTATCAGCTATAGCTCATTCCTCATCTCTGTGGTGCCAATACTGACCATGTCCAACTGAGCCTCTTCCAGGGCACAAAGGGACAATTTCAGGTCTTTCCCCTGGACTACCCATCTGGCCACATTACTACATCAACACTCCAGAGTTCAAGAATGCTATTTGTACCCTTCTTGAGCTATTTCTTGTGTAAAACAGGCCTTTGTGGGCTGGACCCGGAGCCTGCATAACCTTCATCAAGGGGCTGCATATGCCAGCTTCTAAGTCAAGTTTTAAATACGTGTTACCTTGTTTAATCCTCACCACCATTCTATAAAATAGGTATTGGTGTTAGTCCCCCTTATACAAAGGAAGTCACTAAAGGGGCGCCTGGGTGGCTCACTTGGTTGAGCGTCCAACTCCGGCTCAGATCATGGTCTCACACTCTTGTGAGTTTGAGCCCCATGTCGGGCTCTGTGCTGACAGCTCAGAGCCTGGAGCCTGCTTCAGATTCTGTGTCTCCCTCTCTCTCTGCCCCTCCCTCACTCACACTCTTTCTCTCAAAAATAAAACATTAAATTAAAAAAAAAAAAACTAAATAAACTCGCTAAAGCGTAGAGGAATTACAGAATTTGCCCATGACTGCACAGCTAGAAAGTGGCGGAGCCAGGGTTCAGACCTAGCTCTGACTTGGCAAAACCCAGGTGTATCTGCGGCTACCACATATTTCGTATTACTAATGTGTAAATTATCTCAACAAACTGTATCTCCAGTTTGTCAATGTCATACTAGCATATACTTAGCAAATGAGAGTGGATCCCTATTTTGATTACCTTAAAAATCAAATATTCAGAATATTTTCTTTTATTGAAAGAAATCTATATCTGTGGTATAACTTTTATGGGAAAGAAGGCAGGACTTTGAGCAGGCCATCCAAGAAAAGTCCTGAATAAAGAAATAGGAGGGTGGGGCACCTGGGTGGCTTGGTCAGCTGAGCGTCTGACTCTTGATTTCAGCTCAGGTCATGATCTCAAAGTTCATGAGTTTGAGGCCTGCAGGGGACTCTGCACTGACAGCGTGGAGCCGCTTGGGATTCATTCTCATTCTCTCTCCC